CTTTTCGGCCCGGTTTCTAGGGGACAATGTCCACAGAAGATTGAATGCCAGGAGAGGATTTCTGATTTGGCATGATAGGCTGAGAGCCATCCCTGTCTTGGAGGCGTCTGGTCCCCCTTTATTGGGCATGCGCCTTCTCGCCGGTAGCCAGCTTACCGCTCAAATCCGAAACGGCGGCGATGTATTGATTGAAGAACTATAACTCGGTAACCTACCCAAGTTGTAACACGCGGGACTTCTGGCTCAGCAATTGGAACCGAAGCGGGAATAAATAAAGGGAGGAACAACCCTATGAAACTCTTCCGTCTTTCAAGAATAGACCAGGTACCCATAGCCACTGCTACTCCCATCGAGGGGTGGACTGGCGGCGAAGTGAGCCGCACCCGCCAACCGCTACTTGGCGACGGTGACAGCGAGTGGTTCAGCAGCAGCGTCGTCAACTTTGGCAAGGGTGCTACTACCGGTTGGCACCGCCACGCCACCGACCAGCTTCTGGTCATCGTCCACGGCAACGGCATCGTCGCCAACGAGCATGAGAGTCACCAAGTGTCGGTAGGTGACATAGTCCAGATATTGCCCGGCGAAAACCATTGGCACGGCGCCACGGCGGACTCAATAATGGGCCACATCACCATCACCGGCGTAAGCGGCGGATAGCTTACCGCCTGACCCAAATACCCATATGTCGGTATGTGAAAACGGGAGTCGCCCCACCAGGAGCGGGTCCCGTTTGCTTTCCCCAATGGCCTTTGCTACACTCAGCCCTGTCCGGCCAGTCTCGATTCGTTGAGGGTATTTATGACCACTTTGTCCGTCGCCTGGACCGAAGAAACTCTGCGAGTGGCAGGTGTTGACCTGCACCTGGTCAAGGGTGGCTCCGGCGAACCCCTGCTCATCCTCAACGACGAAGTCGGTCATATGGGTCAGCTCAGGTACCAGAGTGAGCTTGCCCAAAATTACACTGTTTACATTCCTTCCCACCCCGGCTTTGGCCAGACACCGCGCCTGGACTGGGTTATGAACATGCGCGACCTGGCAGGCTGGTATTTGATGCCCTGGATGAACTGGGGCTGAGCCAGGTAAACACCATAGGTTGTTCCCTTGGCGGCTGGCTGGCCGCCGAAATGGCCACCATGAATCCTGCGCAATTCAGGAAGCTGGCTTTGGTGGGACCAATGGGCGTCCTCCCCCCCGACGGATACATTTACGACGTCTTCCTCGAGGTAGTCAGAACCTGCATTTCCACTGCCTTCCTTAACCCAGAGGGCACGCCTGAATTTCAGGAATTGTGCCCCGAGGAAGCCACAGCCGAACAGTCCATGGCCTGGGAGGTAGCCCGGGAAGAGGCGTGTCGCCTGGGCTGGAAGCCTTATATGTACTATCCCGGCTTGCCTCACTTGTTAGGGCGGCTTAAGGACTTGCCCACTATGGTGGTTTGGGGTCGCGAAGACGGCATTGTACCAGTCAGTGCTGCCCACGTTTACCACCATTCCATACCCGGTTCGCGCCTGGAAATCCTGGACAACTGCGGGCACATGCCTCAAGTAGAAAAGTCCGCTGAATTCCTAGCTCTGGTCAGGCAGTTTTTCGCTTAAAAAATGGGCTCCACTCCAAACCCTGCTCCGCTGAGAGTCAGGGTCTCCGGTTCTAGCCAAAATCAGGAGGTAGCACGGTATGTTTGTAGGATATTTCACTGAGCGCCCCTACCAGGACCCTCGTTCCGGCTATTTTCGGCGCCACCGGCAAGCCCATCATGGACTTGACGGTAAGCAACGGAATCTACGATCCAAAACTGGGTTCTGAGCTGTACAACCGCTACCTCGACGAAAAAATGTACGCCGAAGAGATGGGCTTCGACGGCCTGATGCTCAACGAGCACCACGGCACCCCCTTCTGCATGGGCGGCGCCATGAACGTGGAAGCCTCCATCCTGGCCCGCATGACCAACCGTGCCAAGATCGTTCTGCTGGGCAACATCCTCCCCATCTGGGACGACCCCCTGTGGCTGGTCGAGCAGCTTTCCATGATCGACATGATCTCCAAGGGCCGCCTGGTATCTGGCTGGGTCCGCGGCACCGGTCGCGAAAGTGTGGCCCATAACTCGCCTCCTCCCTACAACTGGGAACGCTTCCAGGAAGCCCATGAGTCATTGTCAAGGCTTGGACGACGCCTGGCCCCTTCCGCTGGGAGGGCAAGCACTTCCAGTACCGTCACGTAAATCCGTGGGTGCGTCCCTACCAGGACCCTCATCCGCCCATCTGGTTGCCCGGTGTGGTGAGCCGCGATTCCCTGATGTGGGCCGCCGAGAAGCGGATTCCGTACATCATGCTTGCCACCGAGATGGAACCCACCAAGCGGGCCTTTCAGCTTTACCACGACACCGCTGCCGAGCACGGCTACGAGTCCGGCTCCCAGAACATCGGCTACCTGTGGAAGGTCCACGTCGATGAAACCGAGGAACTGGCCGAACAGACCGCTCGCAAATACGTGCAGGGTCCCAGCAACCCCTTCCTTGCTGGCAACGAGGGCACGGTGAACCCTGCCCTGGTCAACCTGCCCGGCCTTACTTCCCGCACCCGCGTCCTGCCCACCCAAACCGTGGCAACCGCCGCTCGGGGTGGCGGGGGCGGTGTGGCTGGAGTGCTCGGCCGCCCCTACGAACAGCAAATTGAGGACTACACCATCATCGCGGGAACGCCCAAGACTGTGATTTCCAGGATCCGCCACGTCCTGGAATACGTCCGCCCCGGCAGTATCTTCTTCTGGGACGGCGACGGCGCCATGACCCACGACGATGCCATGCGCAGCCTCCGCCTGATGGGCCAGGAAGTCATCCCGGCGGTAAAGGAAATAGCCAAGGAACTGGAACTCCCCGGTCCCTTCGAGGTTGACCCGGCCACGGGAAAGGACATTCCTCAAGAAGTGGCCGCCGGCTAGGCTCCACTTATCAAGGTACGTTTGTAGATAGGGGCGGGTTTCAAACCCGCCCTTACAGTTGTCGGCCAGGCGGAGAAGCCCTGATATCCTTGTGTCTTTCCCCTCTGATATAATTCTTCTAGGCAACTCCCATACGTACCACAGGCGAGGTTCGCTATGACCAGCAAAGCCAAGCCGGCGGGCCCTACTCACCTCACCATGCTGCCCGACCCGCCGGAAGACGAACGCGATATGCAGCAACTCCCACACATCGCCACTGCCATCTTGGTTCTGCGTGCCTACTACCGGCATACCCTTGGCCGTAGCGACGTTCTGGTGTCCGGGGAAGGTTACCTGTGCCGCCGGGCTGGAGAGGCCCGCCGGTCTCCGCACCCCGACTGCGTAGTGGCTCTGAATCTTCCCTTCGACCCGGATATCGTTGAGCAAGAGGGCAACGGCTACACTATCGAAGAAATTGGCCAGCCCCCTGACTTTGTACTGGATGTGGGTTCGACGACCAGTGGCTTGCAGGACTATACCGTGAAACGGGATATCTATGCGGGGTTGGGGGTAACGGAGTACTGGCGTTTCGACCCCACCGGCGGGAGACACCACGACGTACCTCTGGCTGGGGATACGCTGGTAGAGGGAAAATACGAACCCATCCCTGTGGAGAACGGTCCCGACGGGGCGCACCGTGGCTACAGCGCGGCCCTCAGTCTGGAGTTGCGCTGGCAAGAGGGGAGGCTGCGGTTTTTCGATCCGGTGGCGGGAGAATACTTGCCATCCTTGGAGGAATCTCTGGCGCAGCGCGATCAGGCCCAGGCAAGGGTTCGCGAGCTGGAAGAGGAATTACGCCGGTTGCAAGGCCGGTAACCGCCGTTTCCTTCAGTTGATCGCAATGACCGGGTATTTACGCGCAGATATCGTAGTCATCGGCGGCGGCCCCGCCGGCAGCGCGGCTGCCACCATGCTTGCCCGCCAGGGCTGGCAGGTTGTCCTGCTGGAGCGGGAACAGTTTCCCCGCGACCACGTCGGCGAGTCCCTTCTCCCCGCCAGTATCCCCATCCTCGAAGAACTCGGGGTCCTGTCGGCTGTCGAGGCCCAGGGCTTCCTCAAGAAATTAGGCGCAACCATGGTCTGGGGTCGGGACAAGGAGCCCTGGAGCTGGTTCTTCGGCGAGACCAACCTCCGCTACCCCCACTCCTACCAGGTCTGGCGCCCCACCTTCGACCAACTGCTTCTGGACAACGCCGCGGCAAGTGGTGTGGAGGTCCGCCAAGGTTGGCGCGCCACCGAAGTCCTGTTTGACCAAGACTCTGCCGCTTCCCAAACCCGTCATTCCGGTGAAGGCCGGAATCCAGCAATCCCCAACGACCAACAACCTCCGGATAAACGAACTGTTACCGGCGTCCGCTGCGTGGACTCTGTAGGACACGAGCAGGTAATCAATGCCCGTTTCCTGGTGGACGCCAGCGGGCAAAACGGGTTGCTGGGCCGCCAACTTGGCCTGCGCCGCTGGGACGAGTCCTTTCGAAACCTGGCGGTCTATGCCTACTACGAAGGCGCGGAGCGGTTGCCTCCCCCTGCGGACAGCAACATCTTTATCGAGTCATACACCCACGGCTGGCTCTGGACCATCCCCCTGCACACCGGCTTGTCCAGCGTGGGTGCGGTGGTGGACCAGAAGGTTGGGGAAACTCTTGTGCAAGACCTGGGGCTGGAGCGATTTCTGGACGAACAACTTGGCCTGGCCCCCTACACCGCAACCATGCTGTCCAACGCCCGCCGTGTCTCCGGCCCCTTTATAGTCAAGGACTGGTCCTATGCTTGCGACAACATGGCTGGGGACGGCTACGTCCTGGCTGGGGACGCCGCCTGCTTCATTGACCCCCTCTTTTCTTCGGGGGTCCACCTGGCCCTGATGTCCGGCGTCCTGGCCGCCGCCTATGCCACTACCGCCCTGCGCAGTCCGGACATGGCCCCGGCTGCCGCGCAGGTTTACCAGGAACTCTACATGAAGGAGTATCACCATTTCAGGGAGATGGTCCGCCTCTTCTACTCCAGCAACCGCACTGTCGAGTCCTACTTCTGGGAAGCCCGCCGCATTCTCGAAGGTGATCAGGCGTCGGAGTCCGGTCTATCAGCCCGTGCTTCCTTCATTCAGGCGGTGGCTGGCCAGACGCCCCAGGGCTACGAACGCATGGTCCTGGAAAGGGGCGCGGCCCCAACTGAATTTGCCAGCAGCGTCCGCGCCGTGGAGTCAGACCGGGCCAGGCGTCAGGCGCAAATGGATGAGCACCTTCAGCCGCAGAGCGGACAGCCCCCGGCCATCCTCTCTGCCGCACCCCAGCTTCGCCCCGGCGTACAAGTCCAACGCAAACCTGTAGTGGGCGATGGCGCTTTCGACTGGGGCTATGTGCTGATCACCGAAAGTCATCCGGAGGGTCTCCCCTGCAGCAACCTTGTTGCCCGCCTGGCCGCAATGCTGGACGGCAAGACGACGGTCGCCGATCTGCTGAACACACTGGCCGCCGAAGTTGATCCCTCGCAACAGCAGCAACTTTTTTCCAGCATCCTCACCACCCTGCAAATTCTCTATGTGGACGGAACGATAGAAAATCTCGTCTTCTGATTCCGCCGTGACCGCGTAAGTTCACGAATCCCCAAACTATTAAGTCAATCATTGGTGTACATTCGTGGATGAACCCCTCTGTTTGCCCCATATTCCCCCTTTGTCTATAATGGCCTCAGATTCCTCATTTGAGTTGCCATAAGTGTTTCCGCAACCAATCTATCCCTTGTTGAGGTGACTGCAATGAACCTGCCCGAACGCATGAAATTCGGCATATTCCTTGGGCCCTTCCACCGAGTCGGCGAAAATCCTACCCTGGCCATGGACCGGGACATGGAGTTGATCCAATGGCTGGACTACCTGGGTTACGACGAGGCCTGGATCGGCGAGCACCACAGCGCCGGCTGGGAGACTATCTCTTCTCCCGAACTGTTCATTGCCGCCGCCGCCGAACGCACGCGCCACATCAAGCTGGGGACCGGCGTCATCAGCCTGCCCTACCACCACCCCTTCATGGTGGCCAACCGCATGGTCCAGCTTGACCACATGACCCACGGGCGAGTGATGCTGGGCGTGGGGCCGGGGCCCTGCCCGGCGATGCTTACATGATGGGGATTGACCCCACCACCCAGCGGGAAAAGATGGACGAGGCTTTGGGCATCATCCTGCGCCTCTTCACCGAGGACGAGCCCATCACCTACAAGAGCGATTGGTTCGAGCTTCGCGAGGCCATGCTGCAACTGCGGCCCTACCAGCGCCCCTACATGCCCCTGTCGGTGGCCTCGGTGCAGTCCCCGGCCGGCGTCGCCATGGCCGGAAAGTATGGAGCTTCGGTTCTGACTATCACCGTTCCCCGCGACCCGTCGGCAGGCCCGTCCAATCTCAAGGGTCTCTGGGACATCGCCGAAAACTCAGCGGCAGAACACGGCCAGACGGTTGATCGCCACGAATGGCGCCTGGCCGTTCCCTGCTACCTGGCTGATGACCGGGACCAAGCCCTTGAGGAAGTCAAAATGGGCGCGGGCCGTTACCTCCGCGAATACTCTGAGGGTACCAATGGGCGCAAGGCAGCCTTTGATGGCCCGCTGGAAGGTGTTGCAGAGTTCATGAGGGACAACGGTTCCTGGATTATCGGTACACCCGACGACTGTATCGAAAGCCTCAACCGCCTTGCCGAGCAGAGCGGCGGTTACGGCGGTTTCCTGGTCCAGACGATTGACTGGGCGCCCCGTGAGAAAATGTTGCACAGCTTTGAGCTGATGGCCCGCTACGTCATGCCCCACTTCCAGGGTTCCATCAGGAGCGTCGCCGCCTCAAACCGTTGGGCCGCCGAACGCCAGGAACTCTTGGTTGGCGGCAGGGTGAGGGCCATAGAGCGGGCCCACCAGGTATATGGCGAAAGGCAGGGCCCCGGCTCCCCGCAGAACGGATCCGGACAAAACGGGTCCGGCCAGGAGAGCGTTGCGGAGGCCAAAGAAGAGGTTCCGAAACCGCAACCCGCGTCCAGCGGGTATGGCCAGCCACAACAGTCCCTCAGCAAGGGACCCAAGACCCCGGAAGGCGAGTTTGAACTTCCCATCCTTGAAGTCCTGTTCGACTTGGGGGGCAAGGGTTCCACCGAAGCAGTGCTGGCCGGAATAGAGGCCATGATCGGAGGCTACTTCAAGGATGTCGACCGGCAGCCATCAGCAACAGGCGAAATCAACTGGCGCCAATCGGCCGAGTCCGCTCGTCAAACGCTGGCAAGTTTCGGCTTGGTCCGGGTAAACGCCGACGGAGATGCCTGGGAACTAACCGAAGAAGGCAAGAGGGAAGCAGCCAAAGCCAAGATTTAGAGGCACCTGTAGATTGCCCCGCAGTTCCCGTTAATCGGGCATAACGTAACGGGCGGCACTTTGTAGGTGCCGCCCGTTTGGCTTGGTTGCCAATGATTGTTGTTGGACCGTCCCCGGGAGCTTGTCACTCTGAGCGAAGCCGAAGAGTCTGGAATCCTGCCAGCGAGAATCTTTCGGTAGAGGAAACCCTTTACCTGGCCACCGTTGGGATTCTTCCGTACTGCACTCCCCAGAATAATAGCAGCCTGTGAGTTTTATCAACAAGGCCCCCGTACAACTCCCCTACAACCCCTGCCCCACCGTCGCCAACAAATTCAAACTCCGCTCTATAGAACCCTGCGCGTCGCCCCCGGCGCTTATCGGGTGGGCCAGAACTTCAGTAGCTCCCCACTCAAACAGCTCATGCAAGCGTCCGTCCACCGTCTCCTCGTCACCCATCAGCACCACGTCCTCAATCATCCCGTCGCTCCAGGCCCCTTCCCGCGCTTCCGGATGACCCGAGGCGGCGAACATTTCCTGGTAAAAGGGAGAGCGGGGATAATTGGACAATTGCGCTCGTGCCGCTTCCCGTACCTCGTCGGCATTCTCATGGACGCACACCGGTGCGTGGGCCACCAGCGGCGGCACCGGACGCCCCCCTATTTCGGCGCCCTTCTGCATTTCCGGCAGGGCCACGTCCCGCAGGTACTGGCCTGGGCACACCCAGCTTATCGCACCGTCAGCCACCTCGCCGCACAGCCTGAATGAACGACGCCGCAGGGCCGACGCCATCACCGGCACGTCCGGGGCCGGCGCCCCGGGCAGCGAACCGTGCCCGTGGTACTGAGTGCCGTCATAGTCCACCTGGCCCTCCCACAGCAGCGCCTTCACCACCTGGATGTACTCCCGCAGGTTGGTCAGCGGCGCGTGGTGTTCGATGCCAAACATCGGCTCGATGCTGACCTTGTGGCTGGGACCGAGGCCCAGCCGGAACCGTCCCGGGGCCATCTGGGCCACCACCTGGGTCTGCGCCACAGTCACGATGGGATGGCGCGGGTAGGTGGGGATGATGCTGGTTCCCATCAGGATGCGGTCGGTAATGGCTGCCGCCGCGGCAAAGGTGGTCAGCGCGTCCGGCCCCGCACCGCCTGAAGTCAGCCACGCCGCCTCAATACCCAACTCTTCCAGGTGCTGTATGCGGGCCACCACGGTCCGGCTGTCGCCACCCATCGCCGCCACGCCAATTCGCTTCTCTGCCATAGTCTTCACCTTCTTTGCACATCTTGCATTTTGGTAGTCCAATTGGGGGCAGGTTAGCATTGGTAGCGGACATTGGCAACCAAAATACAACGTGCCCTGTCGTAGTTACGGGTTACTCGGTGTCTGCTGACGTGATGATCAGCAAAGCAAATTGAAAATCTTCCGATGCCCTTGAAGGTGTGTCGACAATTCTCAAAAGAGGGGTGGAAGAAGAAGACTAAGCCCAGAGGAGCACCTATTGTCACCAAATCGCGTTTCGTGCGACTTTGATTTCCTCGGCGGCATTGCACGGATTCAAAGAAGCCCGGTCGGGCGGTTCCCCTTTCCTTGACACCCCCCTGACCCCCTCCTACAATCCAGACGCATCTGGTAGCTTGGAGTTATCAATAGTGACTTGGGACTTTCAACTGGTTGCCGGCCCTTACGGCACCCCCACCGACGGCCCGCTTTGGGACGGGGAAGCCCTGCTTTTTACCCAGCTAACCTTCCCCTTCAACGCCGCCAATAACCGCATCCTACGCTACGACCCTGCCACCGGCGCAGTGTCGGACTTCCGCCGTTGGACCAACCGCACCACCGGACTGGCCTTGTCTCCAAGCGGGGTCCTTTACGGCGCCCAAAGTGGCGGTCGCCGTCTCGTCAGGTTCAACGCCGACGGCAGCACCTCGCCCCTGGCCCACAAGCTGAACGGGATCTACCACAACCAGCCCAAAGACCTGGTAGTGGACAGCAATGACCGCATCTGGTTCTGCGACCCCCACGGCGACCTCCGCGAGGCCATGAACCCGCAAATTCACGACAAGCTGGACCATGCCTCGGTGCTGCGCCTTGAAGCCCCGACCTTGGACGCAGCCATCACCCGCATGACCTACGACACCGACTCCCCGATGGCCCTGCTCCTGTCCGCTGACGAGTCCACACTGTACGTGGCGGAAAGCAGCGAAGAACCCCATGGCCCTCGCGAACTGCGTGGCTACCCCATCCTGGACACCGGCGCCCTCGGCCAATACCCGACTCCTCCACAACTTTGGCAGTGACGGCGCCCGTGGTAGGGGTGGCGTCCACCGCGGCATCTACGGGATGTGCCTGGACGGCGATGGCAACGTGGTCGCCGTTGCTGGCGGAGCGGAAGCCGGCCCCGGGCCCATGGTGTATATCTTCACCCCCGAAGGCCGAATCATCGAGTCCCACCCACTGCCCGAGGAGCCAACTAATTGTGCCTTCGGCGGGACCGAACTGGCGGACTTGTACGTCACCACCACCCAAGGCAGCCTGTACCGCGCTTCAGGTACCGGCCGAAAGGGCTGACGTCACGCCTGCCTGTCCGTCGCCATTTAATTGAAATCGCATAATCGACCAACAGCAGAATTCAAGGAGGAATCATGGTTTCCGGACCCACCGCACCCAACATGGAAGACACCATTGCCCTGCTCCGCTCCGAATCCGACACCCTCGCCGCATTTCTGGCCGGCCTGGACACCGAGGGCTGGGGTCGGCAGAGCGCCTGCACCGCGTGGACAATTGCCGATGCCGCGGCCCACATCGCCCAGGGCTCCCAGGGTGCGTCACTGGCCCTGACCCGCGCCTGCGACGGCGATCCTTCTCCCCCCGAGGGAGCGCGTTTGCTGGATGCCGGCGAACGGGCCTCTGAAATGACCGCCACCGGGCCATCGCCTTCAGTACCGGCAAAGAGGCCTCCGAACTGCTCCAGGCCTACAATGAGGGCGCCGACCTGCTGGTGCGGACCGCCTCCGATTTGCAGCCCGAGGACTGGGAAAAGCTTTCCTTCCACCGCCGCGGCCTCATCCCAGTGCACGAGAACGTCACCCGTCGTATCCAGGAGATCGCCATCCACGGGTGGGATATCCGCTCCGCCTTCGACCCAGCCTCCGAAATATCAGAGGCCGGTGCCAGGGAGATTGCCACCGTAGCCCACTGCTGGCTGAACGCTTGCTTCGTACCCCTGGAAGGCGGCGCCAACGCCCGCTTCCGATTCGATGTTTCGGGTCCCAACCCGTTCAGCGAAGACGTAGTGCTGGAAGGAAACGGCTTTCGCATCGAGCCGGCCGGTGATGCATCCCCTGACGTCACCTTCCGCTCCAACACTAGCGCCTACGTGCTCTTAATCTACGGCCGTCTCGACATCAGCTCAGGTTCCACCCCGGTCCAATTGGAAATCGACGGCCTCCTTGAAAGGGCCCTGCTATTCACCCAAAGCTTCCAGGGTTACTAGTATTACAACGACGGATCGCAAGAAAGGGATCTTGAGTACCCTTCATAGCAACCTGCCCACGCGCTCGATAGCTTTGTGGCCTTGCCTTCCGCGAAGCGATTTCCGGTCTAAAACTCACCAAATTGAGGAAGCGTCGTTGTAATACTAGAGAATCTGCGAAAGAGTCCCTTCCCCCTCGACGGGGAAAGGTTAGGATAGGGGTGGCGACAAAGGAAATGTCAGCACTGGTTTTGAGGTACTTTCTAAGGCAGGGCAAATTCCTGCTTAATCGCGGATAAACGAAAGGGCCGGGGCGAAAACCCCGGCCCTTAACTCTTGTCCGCTGCGAAAACGCCTAGGCGGTAGCCCAGTCCACCCCGTTCAAAACAATCTTCTGGAACTCAGGCGTCTCAAAGCTGCGGCCATCGTGGCCCAGCAGCAGCACGAATACCTTCCCGTCGCCGTAGCTGCGAGTCCAGGCCAGGGGGTAGGTGCCGCCGGCCATGAACATGGGATCCCGGTTCGGACCCCAGGGCCACGTCCCTTCCTCTGAATCACCAGTCAGGAAGATGTCGTTGCCATCCCCGTAGGCCAGGCCCATGTACAGTTCGTCGTTGGTGGAAAAGTCGGCCACGCCCTGCACGCCGGAGTGCCCGGCCTGGCTTACGTTAACCGTAAACTCGCCGTAGGGCGGGTGGTAGCTGGTGCCGGTAATCCAGCCGCCGCCGGTAATCTCATGGTACTCCGGCCAGGTGTTGGACAGGCACGTGGAGATGTGGATACAAACAAATCCCTTGCCCGACTTGATGTAGTTAGCCATGCCGTCTTTCTCGGCCTGACCCAAGGCCCAGTCCCCAAAGTCGGGTATGTTCTCCCGTCGGGTGTTGAACACCAGGGCATCAAAGCTGCCCATCTCTTCGGCGTTGGCCAGCACCGAGGCATCCTCGGTAACCGTCACGTCGTGCCCCGCTGCATTGAGAAAACTGTCGAGTACGGGAGTAGATTCCTCGTAGGGGTGGCGTCCCCCGCTAATTACCAGTAACTTCACTAAATCATACCTCCGGAAATGTTGTACTGTTGCTCAGGTTAGTCGCGGCCATTATACAACAGGCTGTGTCGATTGGTTAGGCGAGACCTAAAGAAGGTAGCGTCGCAGCTTGGTTGGTTTGGTTAACTCACCCCTTAGCCCGAATCCACCGAAGGGGGTGGTAGAGATGGCGGAGCAGGGGATAAGGGACCTGGAGGAGCGACTGTCCTGGTAGATTTTGGATCTTTGGCGTCGGTAAATGGCCTGCGGTGGTCGTGTCGAGCCACTCACTGAGGGACAGGACGCAGCAGGAGAAGCTCGCTGGCCGGTCTGGCGCGAGGTGTTGGGGAATCTTCGGTTGGCTGGTGGGGAAGGGTGAGGTCGGCACGCCGATTGTCGGCGACGGCGTCAGGACGGGAGTGGCAGGGCTCGCAGCCGTGCCAGGGCGAGAGTGACCTGCTCAGCCCAAGGCCAATGCTTGGGCAGATGCAGGGTGAGGTGGCGGGCCGAGTGGGTGAGCCGTCCGGCCAGGGCGAAGAAGCGTCGCCGCAGGGTCTTGGTGGTTACCAGTTGCTCACCGAGACCGATGCGCGCCGTCCAGCGGGGCCAGATTGTGCGCCATCACCTGGACGGCCAGCCAGGCGCCGTTGGCGGCGAAACGCCCCGAGGGGAGATGGTTGAGCCCCACGCCGTACTTGAGGTCTCGGATGGCGTTCTCGATCTCGGCGTGGCGGCGATGGTCGGCCTCCAGTTCCAAGGTATCGCCGTCCCGGTCGGTGATGAAGCCGTGATAGCTGTAGGAGGCGAAGAGGGCCAGTTGGGACCCGGGCGCGGGCTTCACCCGCCGGACGATGAGCCGCACCGGTGCGGCGTCGGACTCGTTACGGAAAGGTGTGTATTCAGCCTCGGCCACATCGGCGGCGCCCTCCATCCAGTAGGGGATGGGCGTCCAGGCATCCTCAGGTATGGCCTCGATGATATTGCGCAGGCTGGCACGCTGGCGGATGGTGATGGAGAAGCGGACCTTCATCTTGCGGCAGAGGGCGACGATGGAATGGGTGTAGAAACCGCTGTCGGCCCGCATGGTGAGTTGTCCCGTGGCCCCGGCGTGGCGCACCCGCCCCACTGTCTCCCGCAGGAAGTGGGCGGCGCCCCGAGCGGTGTTGGCGCGGCCTTCGCGCAGCCGAGACATCAGCACGTCGCCGGTTCCGGCGGCCACGGCCAGCAGCGGGTGATAGCCCCGCTGGCCGGTGTAGCCGTGGTGGCGGGCGCCCTCCTTGGCCAGCCCGTAGGTCTCGCAGATGGTGGAATCCAGGTCGATGGTGAACGGTGCCTCACCGGGTCCGGCCCCAGCGGCCCAGGCCCGGGCCAGCAGTTCGCGGCCCACCCGGTCCAGCTGGCGGACGTGGCCCCACCGGAAGCTGCGCAGGAAGGTCCCCAGGGTGGAGGGCGCCTTGACCACACATCCCAGCACCCGCCCGGTGCTGCCGGAACGCAGCGCATCGGCGTCGTCAATGCAGTCGCCGCCCGCCAGCGCCGAGGCCACCAGGGTCATCAGCTTGTCGCCGGCGTTGGCCCGGCCTGGGGCCCGGCCCAGGTCCAGATGCCGGTCAACCAGTTGGGGCAGGCCCAGGCGCTGGGCGAGGGTGGCCGGAAGGATCAGCCCGGGATTGGTGACCAGGCGGTGGTCATCAAAGGTGATTTGGATGCGGTCGGGGTGCTCAAGTGGTAGCATCTAAAAGGTGCTCCTTTTCCGGGGTCGGTTTTCAGTACAAAAACCATTATCCCAGATTCAGAGGAGCACC